GTATCGATTAGGCGATTAGGCGATTAGGCGAGTAGGCGATTAGGCGATTAGGCGAGTAGGCGATAAGAAAAGGATACGTATTGATTTGTTTGCTCCGCCCATTGAGCGATCGCCTACTCGCCTACTCGCCTACAACGCTCTATGGGCGGAGCAAACCAATCAATACGTATGTAGTCTTCCCCGCCTAATCGCCTATCGCCTAATCCCCTAATCCGATCGATTAGGCGATTAGGCGATTAGGCGATTAGGCGGGGAAGACTACATACGTATTGATTGGTTTGCTCCGCCCATAGAGCGTTGTAGGCGAGTAGGCGAGTTAGGCGATTAGGCGATCGCTCAATGGGCGGAGCAACAATCAATACGTATCCTTCCCTTATCGCCTACTCGCCTAATCGCACGTACGATCGCCAACTATGAACTCTCCAATAGCATGGAATTCGAATGAAAAGCGTGTCAAAATCAATTTGACCAGTACACCACTACTTTCTCCCCTGAGTGAACCCTAATCCTTTTCAGGAAAAATTGGAAGGCAATGATATAACCATGTCTGTGAAAGTCTACATTCCGTCACCACCACCGTATGGTTTCCTCTCATCAGTCGAGCTATCTTCGCGCTTCAGTTCACCTCCGCGAATGTGTATTGATTTGTCGCGCGAGTAATCGATTGCCATCCTAAAATGCATGCAGTGGGGGTGATCTGAAAAGTGAAGCAGCCTCAACTTCAAGCTATATCATTTTGGATGAATCATTCAGTGGAGTGAAATGCAGCTACATCGGTCGTCTTATTGGACCAAATGGAATAACCATAAGAGAACTGCAATTGGAAACCCGATGCCATATCGCCGTCCGTGGCAGAGGGAGCATCAAGGTAAGCTTGCCCACAGGAAAACATCTCGAAGCTCCTCAAGTTCATTCCCTTTAAGGACAGTAAGCTCTTCCGTAAGATGCGTCACAAACCCGGCTTTGGTCATCTGAGAGAGGACACCCACGTGCTTGTGGAGGCCAAGGGCACGATCACGAGGCCAAGGGCACATCACGCGTCGAGTAAGTTCAACGTTTTGTGAGCATCCTTGGGTAACCTACTGGGTAACCTTTTATGCTTTAGATGCCGAACATTGATCGAGAAGGCGAAAAAACGTATTGCTGATATGTTCACTCCGGATTCGAACTCACACTGAAAAACGACCACAACGTCAATCCAATTCTGGCGAGTTGAACGGAACCTACAGACACAGTCTCCTTCACCCAAGATCATCTACCTGAATTGTTATGAAATACCCCCGTTTCACCCCGTTCCTGGAGCAGATACCCAAGCAACATGCTTTAGATCAATCTGTACTGCTTTCCGCGCTTTCTTTCCTATAAGCGTAGCAGGAATTATCTGATTGTATGCACTCTATTGTACCCCCTTTCGATCCCAGCCCTCCATTTTTTGTCCGTTCTAGAACTGCCCCTAGCATGCCGAGCTTCAATTTGTCACCCGCACTCACATAGTTTGCCGATTTGGCATTGTAACTGGTTGCGATGAAGTTGTTTAAATCAGTTGTTCAATACGCGTTCGAAACTACACAAGCATTAGTAGGCCAGTAAACGTGATCAAACTTCATAGATCGTTTTAAGCGCGATCGGTTTAGCGCAACTCTCCCGTTCCATCCTCGGGTGAGCAGTGCGACTAACCAGCGTGATTGGGCCCCTTATCCATCGAAAGTGCCGGTGACAAGGGTTCTGGAAGGAGTCCGACCCCGCACTGCGAGCGCGTTCTCGCAAGCCCCATCGATCCGCTGTGTTGACATCGTAGCGCCTGCTGAAAGCGCGGGCATTTAAGGCAGCGGCTCCATTGCGACCCAATGTCATTGGCATTGGAGCACTAGAGATAGCTTCGTGAAATTCGTCCGACGCGGGTCACCAGACATCTGTCGACCGTGAGGCTAGGCAATACACCGTACTGTTGTGCAGCCTGGGGCTCTCACACAAACACACTATTTACAGAACGCCGCTTTCCTCACCTTCTTCAAAAGGCTTTAGTCCAATACCTACACAAAGAACGTCTGCTTTTCCTTCTACACTCTCACTCCCTAGTTGACAGAACCCTTGTAACCCCCGACGCGCTCCTTCTCTATCCCAAGGTGCAATGCGGCTGAAATAGAGGAGGTTTCTGTGCTGGACGTCATCGGGTTTCGTTTTGCCTTTCCTCATTTTCCACAGCTCACCTTGGCCACATACAAACATCCTACTATATATAATTCGCTAAGTATGTCTGTCTGTGTGTGTGTGTGTCTGTCTGTACGTACGTCCGTCTGTCACGAAATTCATAGCGCGCTTCGCTGCAGGCATGGAACGCTGTATTTTGAGTATGGTGTAGGGGGTGGGACGGCAACATATTTGGTGGGGTTTATAAAGTGATACCGACTGATAAGATCTGATAAGAGGCGCCAAAACGCCAATTTCATGATATTCATAGCGCGTGTCCCAGCAGTGGTGAGCGTTGGTTCCAAGAAGTGATGTACAGAGTGCGACGGAACATGTACGGTGAGGTACAGGAGGTGATAAGGGCCGATAATCACGTGGGAACATATGGATCGCTTAAAACCGTGGTTCTAGATAACGCATTTCACTTCAGAATCATCTCATTGCGTTGTTGTCATCAACATAAAATACCGTTCGACCGCTATATTCCCAAAATCCCTAAGAATGTATGATGGATGTTTAGCGATATACGATATTGGGTATTTCTATTGCAAAATCATTGGCATCAATATTATTCGACCGCTAAATCATCCTGACATCCAATGCATGGTGGCTGTTTACAGACACCACTGTAGCTCCGCACTCCACCGCGCGTATCAGACGGTTGGTTAAAAATGGGCATTCTGTAGAAGGCCAGCTAACGCATTTCACGAAGAAAGTATTGTTTAGCGCAAGAACCTAAGCTCCTCCGGATCTTGCGGAGCCCTTCCGTCCTGCACGGCGTAGTGTACGGAGCTCAACACTGGTCTAAAAACAAAAGGTAACCTTTCGAGTAGCATTTTTGAAATACCAGTTTTGCTCCGCCGCTATCGCGCGCATCACACGGTAGGCTTCAGCGAAACTGGAGGACTGTGGAACATCTGCTGATCTACTCCACAAAGCACCTCACTATTGGATGATGTTGTCGAATGACCCAAAGTTCCGCAGGCTCTTCAGTTTCATTGAACTACGCCATGCATGAGCGTGAAAGCGATTCACACTCTTCGGAAATCCTAAAGTTGAGCGGTTGATGAGTTCTGGCCCTCTTGGTATTAGAGTAGCAGTGAAATGTATCATTCGCTAAGAGGCTGCTCAAGTTAAACTGGCACCCTACAGAACACTTCTAAGTAAGAACCCTCTAGTGAACGTGGGCTGCGCAACGGAATGGCGACTTTTGCGTTCTGACGCGCCTTATCAGCCCTTATCAGTTGTTATCACCCTTCTTTCACCCACAAACAATGTCCCCGTCCCATCCTACATGACACTTGTAAGTGAGAACTCTCAGTGTCAACAGGGCTGCGTGATGGAATTGGCGACTTTCGAGTTCTAAGGCTCCTTATCAGCTTCTATCAGTTGTTATCACTTTCAGTCACACATCATAAATAAACAAATAAATCAACAATGTCCCCGTCCCACCCCACATAACACCTGTAAGTATGGACGCTCTAGTGTCAACGCAAGCTACGTAACGGAATCGACGACTTTTGCGTTCTGACGCCCTTATCAGCCCTTATCAGTTGCAATCACTTTCCATCACCCTCAACAATGACTTGTAAGTATAGACGCTCTAGTACCAATATGAACGACAAAACGAAATTGGCGATGCTCGCTTTCTAGCCCCTCTTATCAGCTATTATCAGTCGTTATCAGTTCCTATCACGTACCACTTGTGTCCCCATCCCACCCCCTATAACATATGTAAGAACCATGGCGCTATCATTGCTGTGACTCGAGCTACGAATTTCCGTCAAACACACACACACACACACACACACACACACACACACACACACACACATACACACACACATACAGCCGATTATATATGGTAGGATGATAACTTACTTTGCCTTTCCTCACCGAACGTCATCCTCTCCATCAGATAGCAAGGGAGTAATATTCGTCCACTGCAGATTTTATCCTCCACCTTGGTAACTGGACATGGCTGTGTGTTGCACGATTCCCTTTGACTGCTGCTCCCTCTGAAATGAGTTCAACTGAAAGTCACTCTGTGGGTCACTCTTGACAGCTAATTTCGACTCGTCAGATGACATTAGTTGCTGAGGAGAGGTCGCTTTTGTTGCTACTGGTATCTAAACAAAGTAAAAGCCTAGCATAGACCAAGAATATAGTTGGAGCGACAGTGGCTTTCCAAACACCACTGCTATGGCCGCCCACCGTATCGCCGCGATCGGATTCTACTATCTCAGATCACTTCCCTTTCTAGTTTGAAGTCAGAATAATTCCTGTTTATTGACTCTTAGCGAATTCAGACTGTGCCTAGAGGGGTGAGATCATCAATCTACCGGCAGGAACGATTACTCTGTATGTAGGCTCGAGTTAGTTAGATGTAGCAGAGTTTAAATCGACCAGGCAAAACAAAAACCAAAACATAAAAGCAGCGCTCACGATGACTGGAGGGTGGTGCGGTTTCAATGACGTCATTTACCGACATCAGTATAGCCAGAGCCTTCAGGGCGGTCGGAACCGCCTCCTATTATCTTCACCAATGACGTCAATGACGTCATCGAAACAACACCACCCCTCCGCC